TACAGAATCAGATAGCATTTTAACTTTTACCCAATGCCAACCCTTTCATTTCACAGTCCATTCCATAGAGTCTAAAAGCATAGAGACGGAACATTCAGCTAAATTCATCCATGCTGGTATCTGTGCTTCATACAAACTTCCTCCTACCTCTCATCACCTCATTCTTCAAACATAACATTCGATTCCTTTTTCCCTTGTGTATGTACCAAGCTTCCCCTTAAATGCTTATAGCCTCAACTACATTTGTATGAGATAAGGAATTCCATATTCTTGCTTCTCTTTGCATCAAGAATTTCCTATTGGTTTTGTTAGTGTGTATTTCATGTTTATATCCACCAGGTGCTATTCCAAACGCAAAGTAATTCATTTGTTTACATAATTAACTTAGCACATCAATCCAAAGTGAGAAATAATTAACTATTGCAATTTTAAGAATCATACCCTACATGCAACCATTCATAATGATTTTATCCATTATGTTAAAATATTTACCTGTTGCATTCTACAAGCATTTTTGGCAATCACAGTGAAAAAGTTAAATAATTGCAGCACATCTATAGTGGACGCCTTGAAAAGAATCATACCAGAAACACTGAGGAACAGCTTAAGCATCAACCCACCCTCAATATGTACAAAGCTCATTAAACTGTTGGCACTTTTACAAACAAGGTCTACCACAATCAGGAACTGGAGGTCAAAGAACTGAATTAACCTTCCAAACAGGGTGGAGTGACTCCAAATCACAACTAACTCTGTTTAGTCAGGATAATTTCTGCCACTGTAATGTTCAAACTTTTTTTTTTGCCTGCTAGTGGCCTTTTGGGCTATTGTCTAAGTATTAAGGGCACTTCAGGATAAGAATCTCAACTGATATTGACAGAGGTCTCCCCATTAGGCACATGTTGGCTGTGAGATTTCCCATTACAATTTGTACAGGTAAAACATTGTTTCACTCCAGAGACCTAATGTGGCTCATAATTGCCACATGGACCACAGGAGAAGTTCAAGTAGCACACCTTCCCCTACCCCTACCTCCCAACAGATACTTCTCTGTCTCCCTACCTGTTTCACATTTCATAGCTGCCTCAAAACAGAAAGTCCTACATAACCATTGAGGATTTTTGATTGTCCAAATGTCGGGAGATGACAAGGATCTGATAGCATCATTGGAGATAATGTTATCTGGAAGATTCTGTTCCTGACCCAGAGACCAGATGGATTTATACCTGATGATATATATTTTAATCAACTTATAAATGCGAATCACTTTCATTTTATTCAAAAGAATGCTGATTTTGTTTCATTAACCTTTATAGGTTCATACAGCGCAGCAAAGGCCCTTCAGCCCATTGAATCTGTACCAACATAACTACCACAAAAAGTGCGCTAATCCCAATTTCTTGCACTTGTCTCATATCCTTGAATCTTGTGAAATATGAAATACTCATTTGAATATTTGTTAAAGGTTGTAAGGTTTTCAGTCTTCACTACCTTCCCAGGCAGTGCATTCCAGATTCCCACCATCCTCTGAGTGAAAAGGCTTTTTGCCAAATCCCTTCTGAATCTCCTGTCCCCCTATCCTAAAATCCTCTTGTGACTAACCCCTTAACTAAGGGGTACAGCTGCTCTCTATTCACCTTGTCCATACCCCTCAAAATCTTATACAGCTCAATCATGTTCCCCTTCCGTCTTCTCTGCTCTAGAGAAAACAATCCAAGCCTATCCCGTCTTTCCTTATAGTTCAATTTCTCCATCCTAGGCAACATCCTGGTGAAAGTCCTCTGTATCCCCTCTATCGCTATCGTGTCCTTTCTGCAGTGAGGTGACCAGAACGGCACACAGTACTACAGCTGCAAGTTCAGTTGCTTGTGGAATTGAAAGTGAACAAAACTGAATGCAGCATTTGAGCTGCAGAGTGGTGAATTAACAGTGTGTTTAACACAAAGTGGTTAGACTGTAACTTACTCAAAGAAGCTGTCACACTCCTTTCTCCACAGACAGTTAGAGTAGCTTCGACAGCTTGTCTAACACACGGATCCTGTTTACCTCAAGATGACCTCTTAACAGAGGTCTCACCTTTAAAAAAGTGTCCCCTAGTTTTGAACTCCTCCATTCACAAGGGAAAAGGCCTGAAGTGCCCTTAATAACTAGCCAATAGCCCAGAAGGTCACTGGCAGAGAAAAAAACATTTGAACATTATAGTGGTAGAAATTACTCTGATTAAACAGATTTAGCTGTGATTTAGAGTCTCTCCACCCTGTTGGGAAGGTTAATGCAGTTCTGTAACCTCCAGTTCCTGATTGTGGTTTCACCTTATCTATGCCCCTCATAATTTTATAAACCTCAATAAGGTCACCCCTCAACCTCTTATGCTCCAGTAAAGAAAGTCCCAGCCTTTGCAATTTATATCTCAAACCCCCCATTCTCGGCAACACCCCAGTAAATCATTTCTGAACCCTCTCCAGTTTAATAGTATCCTTCCTATAGGGTGAGGGTGCCCAGATATGAAGTGCTAATGGGTGACAAAGGGGAAATAGAGATATAACATGCACATAAACAAAGGGATGGAAAGGAGAGAAGGGTTTCGGTCTTTTGAGAGCAAAATCGACCAGACACAGTTGGGTCAGGAGGGGCCCGTCTGTCATAGGGGAGCATTGACTACATGGCACATTAACTGAAACAATAAATTGCACTGGTTCCAAATTATCCCCCAAACTATTCTTGCTGTGGAAATAACTCATGCAATGCTTCTAAAGAGCACTGAGTGGATCATAGTGGGAAACCTATACATTTAATAATCAAGTTTTTAAAATAACTGGCGCCATCTAGTGGATTAATGCAAACTTTCAAGTAAGTTACAAAATTGGAAGATAGATAGTTCCAGTCCTGTGTAATCATGCAACCCTTAAGATTTCATAAAGATCATCTTGCATTTATATACCCTCACTGCAGAATTGAGGGAGACAAAACCAAAACGGATAAAATGAATAAATGCTGAGCCACAAGAGAACCAGGAGAGCACATTGAAAGCTTTGATTGAAAATCCTCAAAGTGATTGGAAACAGAGATTTAGAGTGAGAATTACAGAGATTACGACAAAAAGTCTGGGTGACCACATTGTGGAATGTGTTTGCTCTGCCCATAGAATCACCCTGACTTTCCAGCATCTCGTTCCCTAGCTAACATTTCTGCCCCGCACCTGCTAGTGTTGAAAGAGTAATATTTTTTACAGAGGTAAGAACAGAGATAAGAAGGATATTATTAAACTGGAGAGGGTTCAGAAAGGATGTAGCTGAGAATGGAAGTTTTGAGAAAGGCTGGGACTTTCTTCACTGGAGTGTAGGAGGTTGAGGGGTGACCTTATTGAGATTTACAGAATTATGAGGGGCGCGGATAAGATGAATAACAATGGTCTTTTCTGTTGTGGGTGCAGGGGCTCAAAAGTAGGGGGCATTTTTTAAGGTGAGAGGAGAAAGATTTGAAAAGGACATGAAGAACAACATTTTTGCAGAGTGGAATAAACTGCCAGAGAAGGTGGTATATGCAGGTACACTTACAACATTGAAAAGATATTCAAATAAGTACATAAATGGGAAAGATTTGGAGAGATCCACCAAGGACAGGCAGGTGGGACTAGTTTAGTTTGGGAGTATGGTCAGCGTCGACAGGTTAGACCGAACTGTCTGTTTCCATACTGTATGACTCTGTTCCACTTGTTCTTCTTGCCCTTATCAACAGCTTACAGTTCTGAAGAGTAGTAGTTTCATATTGGACACAAAACAGATGCTACCAGACCTGCTGAGTCTCTCTCCAGCACCTTGTGTTTGTTTCAGATTTCCACCATCTGCAGTATCCTGCTTTTAAATGGCAAAGTTCCTATGGCTAAAGTCAGAAGGAGAGAAGGTGGGGTAGTGTAGGGAGGGTATTTAGAGCAGAATAAATGATCAAGATTGCATGTTTGAGGTCATGGCGAGATGTGAAGACCATTATTTTAAATCCAATACAAGAAGCCAATGAAGTTAATGAGGATAGCAATCATGGCTGAGTGAGATTTGCGAAATGAACAAGTTAATCATAAGGCACAATTTAACTAGTGTGACCATAATCTCACCCACTGTTTGTAGAATTGTGGGGATCCCAAGATGCTTCTCTCCAGGAGGGACAACACAAGTATCAGGTCATTGGGCACATACCCAGACAACACTGGGCTCCCTTATAATCAAGATAGCAGAAAGGCAGAAGTCTAGCTCCTTGGAGCTGTACAAGATGAGACTCCAAACCAATACCAGTGTATAAGTTTTTGTTGTTTTCTGTTGCATTGAACTGAATTTGTTTGCAATTTTTCTCTCCCACTTTTCCTTTAATCCAAATATGTACTGAATGCTGAAACTAATTTTGTAAATGAATGTACACCAGAGAAGAGGGCTGGACTATTCTGATGGGATTTCTCAATGATTTAGAACTTAGATCGGTACATCATTGTGGAATGTAGTGCTGGAGAGGATAGTGGAGTTGGCCTCATTAGGGGCATTTAAGCGGCTATTAGACAGGCGTATGGATGATAGACTTTAGGTTTAGGGTAAAAGTTCGGCATAACATCGTGGGCCAAAGGGCCATGCTGTGCTGTACTGTACTGTTCTATGTCTATGTCATCATAGGACTGAATCACATTAAGTTAAAGGCTCTCAAAATGAGAGTGACTGAATGAACTACTGCACTTAACTCCAGCTAGTGTACATCATTAATGGATACACGATTAGAACTAAAATGATAACATTTCTTATGATACAGTTCCCCAATGAATCTCCCTGCTCATGGGACCTTTTACTTGACTATGGAACAGCAAGTTAATTCTTCAAAATTACTTCTGTAAACAATTGCAATATAAAATTTGGTCTTCTGTTGTAATGTTAATAAATTTAGGCTATTACCATTTTAATCATTTGATGTGTTCAGTTTTATAAAGTATTGTTTAAGTATAATAAAGGATTTCCACACTATTTTCAAAGTTAAAAATAGTTACATTTACCATTTACAGAGTTACATCAAGTATATTGCTGAATGGCACACTCCACAACACCTTCAGTAGAATTTGTAGTCAAATCAAATATACAACAGTTTGTAAAAAAAAAAGTGACAGATCATATTTGCATTTTCTCATTTTAAATTTCCCTTTGTAGCAGTTTTTTTTCCCCTTTCCCTCCTGTTTAACAACATTATTAAAATATAATTTATTCATATATTACTCCACGAGAGCGTGAAAATAAGAATTCCAGGAACAATAAATATCCTCTTCATCAAAGGCTGCAGTCAATATTTTTGAAAATCTGAACTTATTAGAAATTATGCTGGAGTAGGTCAATGCAAAAACATATTTGCTAAATTTTGGTCATTTACAAGATCAGTGGTGATTAATATGATGTAGTTTCTTGTATTACTTAACGAATTTCCTCATCTGCTCAGGTGATCAACATAAGGCACTGGTTTATTTTCAAAATAATTGCAGAGAAATTTCTAAGTGGTGGTGGTGGTGTTGGTTGATACTGAATTTGTTTTCTTAGTATGGACACTGCTTGACTACAAGTCAGAACTGGAAAGCATGCAGATTTAGATACTGTTCAGAGAGGAAGGGAAATGAAAACTACCATTGATTGGCATTGTCATCTGAACAATCCGTAGTACATCAGCAATTTGCTCATGATGAACAGCATCACAGAGAGCTGAACACCAGAGATGCAGATACTTGCTTGTGCCTATCTGGGAAATGGAAAAAAAAAAATCAGCCCCAGCAAGAAAATGTGTTCATTACTTCAATGGCACAATGCCTTAGAAGTATTTCCTCCTGCCTTAAAATTGAAAGTTATTTCAGTTTCAAAGAACTAAGTTGAGCTAGAAGGTACATAACCTATTGCTATTTGATTGTCCTGATTTGAGTACCTGACAATCCTACAACACAGAGAGCTACCAAGGCATCTTCCTTCCATTTTCAACAGACTGGAAGTTAAACATCGACTTGTAAGTTGTAGGTCTGCACCCTCAAAACATGAAGATTCAATAATTCACCAAATACATATCTCCACATAGAAGGTACCACAGCAGATCTTGTTAACGGCCAACTATTTTCAGTTCAGACTTTGACGTTTTAGATCCTTTACCATTTAATGTTCAGGGCACTGTTCAATTTCTCCACTGCATGGTACTGGGTGTGCAGCATTTTCAAAGATTTGGTACTGTCAGCACCTTCAAACCACTGTTCATAGACCTTCTTAACAGATTCATTTGCTTCTGGTGCCTGGACCTTCACACTTGCGTAAAGTTCCTCAACCTGCTGCAACAAATCCTTACTGGACTCAGATCCCTCTGCTCGTATTTGGCCACCACCATTGAGACAACCTGCAAACAGCAACAAGTCTGATTAACTACTAATTAGTTTTCAAAAGAAATGAACACATTAACAAAAGTTCTGAGTTATATTTGAAAGGAAGCAGAACTACATCTATGGGATGTCAGCTTTAACCTTTACATTAGTTTGTAGATAATTACATTCAAGTTAAAATGTCAGTTATTGTATAGGTGTAACACGTCTAATAGGTCAATTAAATACCAAACATCTTCAAATGAAATATGGCATTCCTGATAAGAATTATGAAATTCATAATTCATAAACTAAAACCTTAAGGGGAACTTACAATGCACACATATTCAAATTTTTAATGAAACTGTCTTTATTAACTTGCATTATAAATACACTTGTCCTAAATGAGATGAAGTATTAATTATATTCCAACTTTTAAGAGGATGTAATAATAGACCAACAGGCCTACAAAAGTACATTTCCATTTATAATTTAGTATATTTAGGAGAATTATAACAATAAAGGACAGGACACATTATCCCTTGCTGTTAACCTTTCTTCTCCTGAAGACTTGCTTAGTCTTAACCTCCTGTTATAAGCAATGCCTTAAGGAAACAACTACTAAAATATTTAAAACTTCACTTCTTGTCAAGTTTTGTTCAATCACTTTGATGTCTACATTTAGAATGTAAAGTGGCCATTGCAAATTGCCCTTGAAATTAGAATCTTCAAGCCTCAGCCGAGACACACTACCACTGGTAGAGATGTGTAATACTGCATTGTAATTTTACTTAGGCATTCTCCATTATAATGGGAGCATTAGGAATTAATGGCAGAAAGCTGAAATCAAAGATATAGTGTACGACTTTAAAATGAGGATTATTTCACATACAACTAGTACCCACTTTCTAAGCCCCATGGACCTCAAAATTACATTTGTTCCTCACTCATCTGCAATAAGAGAAGAAAAATCAACCAGAAGTTTGCAAAAAATCCAAAAGAAGTCTAAACTTCACAGTACATGAAAAGTGTACAAAAAAACCCTGCGAGTGTGTGCAAAACATCAACTGAAATTGTACACTGTATTTCAAAACAAATCTCCTGTAGACTCAAGTGGTCAGGCTTTATTTTTCCACCAAGCAAGCATTTCTCACACTGACGCCCTAATTTGTTTTGCGTTCTCATAAAATCCTTAAAGTTTTACCTGAAGGACAAGCCATCACCTCCACATAATGGTAAGTCAATTTTTTACGCTTCAACTTCTGCACTAGGTTCTGAATATTTCGGAATCCATAGGCTAGCGCAAAACGGAGCAGAACAGTTCCATCCTGTTCCAGTGTTACTTCCTGGAAATCTTTATTCCTAAAGAAAGATTAGAGACATTATTGCTTGATAATTGGTATTACTAAAAGTATTCTGCCACAGTAAATTTTCAGAATCCTGGCTGATAATCTGAAGGGAATAGGAAGGTCAGCACAGTTTACTGAAGAATGGTCAGCTGTCAGGTGATAGGTGCAGAAATTGTGAATTACTGTAAAACATCAGGTAGGTGGGTACTTTTAAATAAGATTTCTATACAACAAAGTACCTTCAATCACTTGTTTTCTACTATCACCTTAAAATTAAGCATTAAGTGACAACCTTTGCATCCAACAATATCCACAACCAGTTAAACAATTTGTGAATTTGAAACAATTTGTGAATTTGTTTTGTTGGCTCTTAGCTTAGTTAACAATGAGCAAATTTAAGAAAGCTACAAAGTTTGCTAATAAAATTCTATGCTTACTAAACAGCTGCAGCAGGTGAAGTTTAAAAGACTGTTACACAGGATATTTCTGTACGGTATCCAAATTATCCATGAAACCTTTTTCCTATGGGTTCCTGGACAAGGGCAACACAGGCACTAGGTAACAAAACCAGGAAAATACTGATGAACATAGTGATGGGACCCATTACTTCAGCACTTCTATCATTGTGAGTCCTCCTTTCAAATTTATTTGGTTGATTACACATGTAGTATATTAAATGGAAATGCATTGATCAGTTAAGTAAACATTAAGATGGGCAATAAATGCTGCCTGGCCAGCGAAGCCCTCATCCCGTGAATGAATAAAGAAAAAAAAAGTTCAAGGAACAGTGTAGAAGTTATAGGGTGGGGTGGTTCACCACTGGACATTTCAAGTCCCCTAAATTAGAGGTAATTTCCTTCAATATTCTGTCAGGTCAGACTACCATAAAGAAACCAAGGTAGAATAAGCAAATTATAATAGCAAGAGGTAAAGTCACCAGGCTTACCAGACCACAGCGCTGCTCTCCGAGATGACTGGTGGTCCTTTAAACTGAGAGCCACCATGCCTCAAGCAAGATGAGAGGTTGAGAAAGAGGTCCTTCATGGTAACCTTGGCCAATGTGGGAATGGAAACCACACTATTGCCATCACCCTGCATCAAGAATCAACTGAGCTAAACTGATCGCCATTGTAGGAGCAACAATGGGTCTGGTCAATTTGGGAATGCAATCACTGAAAAGCAGTCTATTTAATTCGAATAGTTTTTAAAACAATTAACCTTCACAAAATTAGTGAAGGATTACTTGATTGTTATTGAAGGCCAGGTATTGAATTAAGGATTGTAACTGCTTCCTGAGCTACAGGATTTCCTTTAGCTTGACCAAGGCTGACTTGGTCCAATATTAACTTGTTATTTGATGATCAGCACATCACAGACAAGTCCAATGCTGCCCTCATGTGACCATAAGCACTTATGGTAAGTGACTGGATGGCAGCCAGGAATGAGAACTCTAACCAATATTCTCCCTGATCGCTGAGAGGAAATTGTAGCTGCCTTAGCCCATCTCCTGGCTCGGTATTACTCAGTAATAGATAAACAAAAAACCAGGGAACTTCCTGCCTGTTTGACTCATTATTTAATATACAGGACTTACCGAGCAATCAGGAGAATCAAACATTTTCCTGTTTTAATCAAGATACGATAAAAGCAGAACAAATTCCATTAAAAGAAAGATGAAACCACCAACCTGAGTGTTTTATAGGTAATCTCATGTACATCAATTCCAAAGAGCTCCTTAGCAGCATGTTTGAAAACATGTTCCAGATATCCACCAGAACCACCACCTGAATGCCCAGTCACTTCTGCTTCAGCCTCACTACTGAACCTAAAAACAAGTTACACTGACATGAATTCCAAATTCCTTGATGTTATGTAAAAACCAAAAGATACAGCCTTACTATTAGTTCAGACAAACAGAAACATTAATACCACACTGTGATCCATCAGACACAGCGATCCTAGTATAACATCAAAGAGTACCTTCAGCAAGGCCAGTCTTAAATGAAAAACTTACTTCCCTAGAATTTATACAGGAGAGGTCTGAAAATTGAACTGAACGTTGTTGTGTTCAATGAGATTTAATGGTCAGTTTCTCCGTTCTAAGCAGTGTGGATGAATGGTATTGTTCTTGCTGCAACAGTCACCAGTAGAAGTGAACTGCAGGTCAGATTAAATTTCCATGCTCCTCACCATACCCTCCCAACACAGTGCTGCACTTGCTGTTAAGTTGAAGAGGATGATGTCCCACAAAGTCATAAAAAGGTGAAACTGGTGCAATTTTAAGGTTAGTATGAGCATCTAACTTGGGAGTATTTTAATGAGTAGTTGCTCACAAAAACCACACATAAACCTAAGTTTGAGGAGGGGAGAACAGATGAGTTTGGCTACACATGGTAGTAAAATATTCTATTCCTCTGTCCTTCCTTGATTCACATAAAAATTCAGCTTGACAAAGCAGCAGGCCACTTGTAAACAGATTACTAACTGAACTGGAGTAACCTTTATTATTTAATCAGTGCAAGGATACTAAAATTACTCAGATGTAACCAAACAGTCCATAAAAGCCTCTGAACATTTATTGTGTAAACAGTTAGAATTATACCATTACTCTAATGAAGCTTGTCTAGAATCGGAAGGAACAGTTACATAAACCATTAGGATACTCATAAGCAAAATAGCCTGGTTCTGGTACTCAGTTTGATGTATTTATGCAGTTCATCATATAATTGAGGGCACAAGGAGTAAGGTCAAATTATAGAAATGTATAAACTATAGCAGTTAGATCCACATGGTGAACAATTTTTAGCACCACATATCACATAATAGCACCTGGCTGTAATTCGGTGCCAACAGTTGACTGATTTAGTTTAGAGTGTCATTGACTGTTTAGAGGTACAACTATTATTATATTTAGTAGAGAAAATATGTTGTAACAGAGAATGAAGTGCAGTTGTTCATTCTAACCATCAGTCCTCAAATCCTGTGACCATCCGGAGTCTCCAAGGACAAAGTTCAACAGATAATTCACAAGTAAGGTGACTTTAAGTCACATTACTGTCTGAGCCTGTTTTCTTTTAGTTGAATGTAGAAGTAAGTGCATTTAGTCTACATGCTTAATTTCAGCTGGTAGCCTAACTATAAAATGCTAAGGTCATATCTTAAACATTGGAAAACATTGAATTTTAATACAAAATTAATTCCTGCAAGAGTTTGACCTCACTCAGGCAGGTGAAGTGTTATGAACCATCTTGAATATCAATTACAATTACATTTCGGCAGTGTGAAAAAAATGCTTACTAAAAACCTGCAGACATTTTTAAAAAGATTTACTGTCCAAGGACTCAATTACCTTGTGGACAGACTATCTTTTTCAGATTTATTTATAGCTGGCTTGTTTACAGGAAGCCCTTAATGCTAATAGCTAAGTGTGGTTCCCATCACGTAGCTCTGCGGAAATTATGCTCATCAATAAAAGCACCAGACAGGTCTGCTCTGATAAAAACAGAGTTTGGCAATTAGACTCTTCTATCCCAGCCAAGTTCAGTGAGTTTTGCTTACCTTCCTACAAGCCAATTAAGATATCAGAAGTAATGGACTAGCGGAAACATTGCATTTTCACTCGTAAACCATTTCAAAAAAAAATCTTAAAAATATACAAAATTCCTCAGCCTCTAACTGATTGAGTAATTCCTGTTTATTTACATATAGGATTCTCTTCAATAGCAGGATTTTAAGCTATGAATGAATGAATGAATGAATGAATATGATCAAGTAGTCCAGTAAAATTGAAGATCCTTGCAAAAGTTTCAATTAATATTGACCAAAACTTTTAAAATAACATGGACATGCTGCAGCATGGTGAGACAAAATTGACACAAGCACACATGACTCAGCAAAGTGATTTCCCAAAGCCAGAAACTATCCAAAGTAGGCAGCCGAGTTAAGGTTTTGCAGCACTCTCATGGAGCAATATTGTGAATAACTTATAAAACTTATGATGAATAACTTATAATTTTAAAACAGCCAAAGGATTTTCACAGGCTCATAATTGGGGCAATTACTAGAAACAATTAAAAGGACATCAGGACAGCTAACTAAATGCAGGTCTTAAGGATTGTCCACCTGCCTTCAAGACATTTAGGGAGGGGAATTTAAGAGCTAGCATCTGAAAACAAAATCCTCAATAAAGCAATGATTTAAATTGGAGATGGACCTAAATTGGCAGAGTGTAGAGGTGTGAGAGAAATTTAAAGTTGAAAGGTAAGAGTGAAATCAAAGGTATTTTAAAGCAAAGATCCAAATTTTAAATTCATGGCATTTCTTCACCAGGAGCCAGTATTGATCAGCAACATCGCGTGGTGAACAGCCTGGGTGCCAGCTAGGACACTGGCGGCAGATTTTTGGATGGCCTCATGATTAGAGGGTATGAACTGGGAGGCCAGCAGCTTTCGTCAAGTCTAAAACAGGCGTAAGTGAGCACTCCAGCAGCAGATGGATACAGACATGATGTACTGAAATTAGAAAAGACGTTCTTAGTGAAGATCTAGCTTTGTAGTCTGAAGCTCATCACAAGTATAACAACTATGGTTGTGAGCAGTCTGATTCAGAATCGGAGAGCTAGTGTGAAGAGGAATGGGATGGTAGCAAGGCAAGAGTTTCTGATGGGGACTGAAGACAATAGCTTTGGCCTTTCCAACAGTTAGTTGCAGAAAACATCTGCTCATCCTTTTTTTATAAAAATTAGCTCCCAAAACGAGGTTCACTGGCAGGATAAGCACTTATTGCCCATCATTCAATTGCGTTTAAGTAATAGTGACAAGCTGCATTCTTGAATACCCACAGTGCTTTTAGGAAGGAATTCCAGAATTTTGACCAAGCAATGGTGAAGAAAAGTTGATGCAGTTCCAAGTCAGGATAGTGTGTCACCTGGAGAGGAATTTACAAGTGGTAGTGTTCCCATGCATCTGCTGTCCTTGTCCTTCTATGTTGTAGAGGTCACAGGTTTGTGCTGTGATCTCAAAGGAGCCTTGGCGAGTATCTGCAGTATATCTTGTACATGTTACACACCCTTGCCAACCGCACCATAGGCAAGTGAATGAACAGTTAAAGTGGTAAACAGTTTGTCAATCAAACAGAGAGTTTTGTCCTGGATGGTGTCAAAATCTTCAAGTATTAATGGAGTTGCACCCATCCAGGCAACTGGGGAATATTCCATTACACTTCTGACTTACAGACAGTGGTCTAGCTTTGGGTAGTCGGATGAGGAGTAACTCGCCACAGCGTTCCTAGCCTCTGACCTGCTTTCATAGCCACAATATTTCTATGGCTGTCCCAGTTATGTTACTGTCAATGGTAGTTCCCCAGAATCTTGATGGCAGCACTTGCATTTTTGTTGAACATCAAGGTTAGATTCTCACTTATTGGAGATAGTCATTGCCTGGCACTTTTGTGTTGTGAATATTACTTGTCAGTGTTAGCCCAAGCTTCAATGGTGTCCTGGTATGGCTTCATAAAAACACTGATTGCTTCAGTATCCGAGGAGCCACAAATGATACTGAACATTGATGATTCTACAATGAACATTCATCTCTAATTCTGACGTTACAGTGGAGAAAGATCATTGATAACGCAGCTGAGTGGTTGGGCTTAGGACACTGCCCTGAAGAACTCTTACACTGGGGCTGAGATGAATGTCTTCCAACGTTGAAAACCATTTTCCTTTAGGTGACTCCAGCTAGTTGAAAGTTTTCGATCCAATTTGCACAAACCTCTGATTTGCCTTTGTTGCTCAAAAGCTGGCTTGATATTAAGTCACTTTCACTTCACCTCTAGGATTCAACTCTCCTGGCCATGCTTCAACTAAGATTGCAATGAGTTCAGGAGCTGAGGAGACATGGAGGAAACCAAACTGAACCATCAGTCAGAAAGGTGTTGCTGAGCAAGTGCATCTTCTTAGCACTGTTCATGACACATTCCATCACTTTATTAGTAAAGCAAAATATGTAAGGTGAGAGGGGGAAGATTTAAAAGGGACCCAAGGGACAGCTTTCTCGAGCAGAGGGTGGTGCGTGTATGGAATGAAAATGAGCTGCCAGAGGAAGTGGAGGAGGCTGGTACAATTACAACATTTAAAAGGCATCTGGATGGGTACACGAATAGCAATATTTAGGGGGATATAGGCCAAATGGGATAGATTAATTTTGAGTTTCTGGTCAGCATTGGATCGAAAGGTCTGTTTCTGTGCTGTATATTTCTATGGCTCTGAGTTATAGTACATGGCTGTATTGGTTTTGTCTTGCACTTTGTGGATAGCACACACCTGGGCACCTGTTGTTTAGATGTTAGTGTTGTACTAGACCAAAGTGGGTACAGGTGCTGCTAACTCTGGAGGAGGTTTTCACTACCACAGCTGGGATTTGTCAGGGCATATGGCCTTTGCTGTACTGGTTTTTGAACCAGCAGTGTGACAATTTAGAGTTAACGGTGGGGTCAAGATTGTTGATAAACTTTCATTATGGCTATGTCATGGATATAGCTAAACATCAAATGTTTTTGAGGCATTTAGACATGGAATAGTATTCAGCAAGTTCCAGATCATAGAATCATCACAGAATCCCTACAGTGTAGAAGCAGGCCATTTGGCCCAGTGAGTCCACACTGCCCCTCCAAAGAGCATCTCACCCAAACCCACCCTCTACCCTAGACACTATGGGCAATCCACCTAACCTGCACATCTTTGGACCGTGGGAGGAAACCGGAGCACCCGGAGGAAACCCACGCAGACACAGGGATAATGTGCAAAGTCCGCACACGCAGTAGCCCAAGGCTAGAATCGAACCCGGGTCCTTGGCGTTGTGAGGCAGCAGTGCTAACCACTGCGCCACTGTGTCGCCGTCGCCCCACCCCCACCAATAACAAACAAAATGTTAATCTTCATAAATGAAACCTGCAAGTTTAGTCTTATGCTGTGCCCCAGCACTGTTACACTTGTTGACAATTCAATAAAACAAGTCAAAACCTGACATTACTTCAAAAGTTCTCCAAAAATTTCCATTACTCCTGTAATAATTTGCTATTTGATGTATCTAGTCATGTTCCATGTTAAGTCTATTTGATTTTCTGAAGTTTAAGAAAAAGGCTGCATTTTGGTGTTTGCAGAACAAAGACAAAACAATCTTGGCTTCTGTTGTTAGATGCTTAGAGATTTTGATATATGCAGATAGGCTGTATTCCAGCTTCCTGAAGTTAATGACCTGTGACAGACAAACTGCTTGCAATATGTTGCTTGCAATATGTTTTTCCAGCTCATACCTTTTGGGGAAATTCTGATCTATGGGTGCAGTGCGTTAAGATATAATTTGTTTCTTTTTTCTCCCCACTGTAAGTGGTGCATAGGAAGAATTGCTATGATGGAAACTACTTTAAATATTCAGACAACAGATTGTTCAGAATACTGGAGATGAGTGAGGACTTAAAACAGGCAGGTGTAGCTTAATACAGTGAACTTCCTTGATCTGAAATCTGGATTGCAGTGCTGATTTGTTATGCAAAACTTAAAATATTAGTAATTTGAGAATAGTTATTTCATAAAATGAATGAAGACAAATCACAAAATCAGAAATTGGCTACAGTACAATAGGTCGTCCGTTGGCTCATCATGTCTGTACTGACCCTGCAAGAGTAGTGTGCAGTTCTGCAGTTGGTGGTTTTAGAGCAGCAAAACATACATGTATTTTACAAAGGATTAAGAATTGAATATTCTACATATCTGCAAGAAAGGATTTACAATTCCATCAGCAAAAATGTTGAAATATAAAAATGATTTTTTTTTTTTACTAAACATGAGCAGACGGTGAGTTCCTACCTGCTAATGGGCTAACTACATTAGACAACAATGACGCAATAAGAAGCTCAAGCTACTTATCTGCCACACCAACTGTCTGAAGACAGTGAGGAGGAATTCAGGATTCGCTGCATTAAGAACTAGATTGCTCAATTTAAGACTAGAAGGGACAAAGCAATTACCTTTGCACAAGAGCTCGGTGTGAAATAAATTGAAAAGTTATGACTCTGGATTAAAAATATACAGTTATAACCACGCCACCAGTATAGAGCTTTACATAGCTGCGACAGGGTTTCTGTTTACAGCACATAGTGGAGGAAACTGTGGGCTTCCTGGAATTAATGACGTCTGAACTCCTGCATTGCTGCTATTACAGTGAAGCACCCAGATGGCGAGATGGATATTAAAGGAAAGGGAGTGGTTCCTTCAAAATTCAGTACAACAACTAAATTACCCTTTGAATTCTAGATTATGAATGCTATCGTTTGACAAGATTTGTTTTTGAAAAATGAACATTTTGTTCAAGTGAGCCAATGATTACAACCTAACCTGTAAAGGGACTGCTGGGTTTCTTCAGAGTATTTGTGACTTACATTGTATCCAATGGCACTGGGTCCACGTTTGTCAATGCAAGCCCCTCTTGTTCTAACATGTTCAACACTTCACCTTTAAAACAGAAATTCTCCCATTAGTGTATCACTGGGCAGAACTTTAAAGCAAGCAAATGACAGTCTGTACATGGATCGAGTACGCACTGAATCCCAGATGTAAATTACTTCAATATAACGAACAACTAGATTTCTTCCAGGAAAAGAAGTCTTTATGATGCTTTCATAAACTTGATCATACGTCAAATCACTTACAACACAAGTATTTTGAGAAGCAACACCGACCAACCAGATAACTTGAGAGCAAGTGAAAGGTGGCTTCATGAAGGTACTGATGACACCGTTACACAAATAACAGTGAAAAGTTCCAATGAAAGTGTTCAAGCTGCTATTCAATACTATAGTTTCATTAAGTAGGGTGTGGCTTACATCCAAAATGACTTTGTCTAGTTTTCATTTTTAAGACTTCTGCCAAGACAGCCGATTTGGAAAATTTTTAGTTTGACCCTATCAACAAAGTACAAGCCTGTGTGAAAAATAATGAGTAAAATAGACAGACACAGAATCGTAAAAATCATCAGCGCTAGTGCACACAAACAGGGAACTCTGCTCACGTTTGTTTTTTACCTGAAGTAATTACACAGTCCACATCTCTTGTGTGGTGACCTTCAGTGAAGAAGTCTTCCCTTGAAGCTTCTAGTTTTTTATCATAACATGGCATTACTGTTACATGGTATATTTGATCTGGCATCATATTCTATGGGGGAAAAACAGAATACATCACACTGTGTTTTGCTGCTGATCTTCTAAATCCTGCACACGCATGTAAACACTTATCCAATTAATTCACATTTCTTGCTAGAGTCAAATGAGACATTTGCAACACCTCACATTACGAAGAAAAATGCTAACTTGCAAGCAACATATTTCAAAGGAATATAAAACGATAGGCCAGTCAGCTACAAGGCCACTCTGTCATATAAGTTGGTTATGGCTGATCTGTACCTCAATTCTACAACATAACTCAACATGTCTTGTAATTTATTTGAGTGCACAAGCAAATTAAGTAATTGGCCTCTAAATTATTTAGTCTGTACACATCGCAACCTAAATGCACGGCCGCATGGAAATCTCTGGGTTGCTATGTGACTGCAGCTTAGAGGAAACACTGTCCTTACCCAACAAAATATAACCATCTCAGACTTGTATATTTCAATGGTTCAAGCATCCACAGCCGTCTGCTAGAGTTCTAGACTTCCACTGGCCTCCACGAAAACCTGCTTCCTGATTCATTTCCTTCATGTCTAGCTCTAATGTCAAGATTATACTCTCAGGTTCTGGATAGTAGATGAAACACTACTCCCACTTTGCTCTCGGACCAGCTCGTGGCGGGCCTCGGCCCGGTCTCCCGGACCAGCTCGTGGCGGGCCTCAGCCCGGTCTCCTGGCGGTATGTCAGTCGGTTTCTTAACGGCTCACGGCGGTGTCTCGGCTCAGCACGCGGTACCCCATTCCCGAGATACTGGGGGAGATCCTGGAGGTGGCAGCAGCGATGGTATCTACGGCAGCTGCGTTGAGAACAGACAGCTGAGGTCTTCCGGACAGTGAGATAAGTGGAGGACTCATCAAAGACTGTTGAACTTTACGCTTATTCCTTTATTTTCATAGTTTAAACTACAGAAAAACTTTAATGTTAACAATTGCCATATTTCTTTATTTTTCTACTTGTTCCATGAAATAATGCTTAACTTTTAACACTTGTTTATCTTACTACATTGTACCTAAGCTTTTTTGTACTGATGGTACCCAAGATGGCACCACGTGTGGTGATATTATACACTTTTCACTGTACTCCTGTACTTCTGTACTCGAGTACACATGACAACAAAATCTAAATCTAATCTAAATCTTCACTGAACACCTTAACATTCTTCAATATCTTGATGACAGCATTCCTCAATCTTCTTAACTCAAGATAAATTAATAAAGTGCACTAATTTGAGATCCGTGTCATCCAACAGGAGGTCTGAGGCTGTGTAAATCTCCATTCAATAGCCTCATCAAATTATAGTCAGGTCATTGAATTTAAACCCTTCAAAAATACATCTAGGCCTCCTGTGAAAGGCACTATTCAATGTGACAGACATTACCCAGCTCATAATGCATTCATGCGAGATTTGTACACAAAATATCCATTATCTGTAACAACAGAAGTCATTTAAATCTCATTGGAGCAACCAACAGAGTAATTTACTTTTAAATCAATGCAGCAACATGACCATCTTCTGCTGATGGATCTTTTGAATGGAAGAAACTATAATGCACATCGGCGGTCCTCCCTTCTGTCCACATGAACGAAATCTTAGCCAAGTTACAGCACTGAAGCGGGGAAAGCTAGGGAAAGCGTACCCACACCATTAAGTACAAGAAAAGAGATGCTTTCTTTCAGCCCACACTGGCCTCGCTCAGAAAGGCCTCCAGTTAGCGATGTCAGCTTTTGAGATTCTAATACTCTGCTACAACAATAAAGCTTTTGAGGGATTTAAAGATTCTGACATTATCACTGACCTGCTGTTTTGCAAAGTAGTCCTTGATTAAAGAGCCCATCACCTGCTGTGGGGATTTTGTTGTGCTGATATAGGGAATAATGTAGCTACCATGAGTTTTCTCTGCGTAACAGATCCAACCTGAAAGGGACAAGAATGAAATATTCCCACGTAATTTAGCTAGATGACATTTAAAAACATTTGACGAGATGTTTCAAGCAAAGGATTTTGAACTTTTAGTATAAAAAAGGCAAAGTACAGCTGCAAGAATTATTTTATAGACAACTATTTGATAGTGACTGTAAACCTAAACTTCCTTATAATTCAATCAGTTTGGGTAATTCAATCAGTTCAAGAAGAATGAACAGAGCTGCTGTGGAATAGAAGCGGAGCCAATTTTCTGCATAATCATTTAGTGCAGTGGCAATTAACTACTTCAATAAGTTGCCAACTAATCAGCTTTTACACTTGCTGGCTTAATCACTGTGGATTTGTTTTTAATTTGGGTTGTCAAAATTTGATGTTTTTATCTTTAAATAAATTGTTAGTTGGGAATAGGAGTACAAGTCACGCGCTAAGAGCGTTTGTTTTGGTATTTGTATTACGGCCTTGGCGCTCCCTTCTAAATCAACATAAGACATAGGAGCAGGAGTAAGCCACACATTCCACTGAGCCTGCTCCATCCTTCGCTAAGAACATGGCTGAAACTCTAAATCATTTTCACCTTCCTGTTCAATTCTCATATCCCCCGATATGCTCAGTCCCCGAAAATCTTATTGATTCTGGTTCTGAATATGCTTATTGACCACAGTAAAGAATTCCAAAGATTAGCAGCTGTTATTTTTCTGTCAAGCTCTTGCAGAGCCTTACCAAAATTGTCATTCCCCTAAACTAGAGTGTATATAGGTTCATTCAACTCAATCTCTCCCATAAGACAGTCCTCTCAATCCAGTCCTCTCAATCCAGCTGCCTAATCCAGTGGGTCTTCATTGCACTCCCTCCAAAATAAATTCATCTTTCCTTAGGGGAGGAGACCAAACGGCACACTGTGCTCTAGGTTTAGTCTTATAAAGCCTTATTAATTTCAGAAAGTTCTTTATTCTTGTCCTACAATATCCTTGTAATAAATATTAATGTATCATCTGCCTTCTTAACCATTTGCTATACCTACCTAAAGTTCTGCGTTTCATGTAAAGGATCCCCAGATCTCTCTAAATAACTGATACTTACTAGTTTCTCACTATTTAATAATGTTGTTCTAGTCTTCCAAAAAAATTTCCCACATCTTATGTCTATATGTCGAATCATATAACTGTTTTACATCTCACTATTCAACTCACAGTTTGCAATCCCAGTTTCATTCTGAGTGGGTCAAAATCTCAGACCAGAAACTGAGCACTTAATCTAGGCTGATTCGCCAGATCCAGGGGAATATACCCATATCAGCTTTTCAAATGTGACCTTAAATGGAGTCCCTGACTGTCCTCAAAAGGTCCCATGGTGTTCCTGGAAAGAAGAGAGGAGTTCTGTCTAGTGTCCTGGGAAACAATATCTGAATTGACATAAAATCAAATTATCCAGCTAATATCATATTGACTTTTGTGGGATCCTACTGGTGGCTGTGTTGCCTTCAGTACAATAGACAGTACATTAAGTTCTGTTTATGCTATCTTGTGATGCTATTTAAATCCAATTTCTTTATTTATGTTACAAATACCTGGACAGGCAGAAGCCAGCATCGGCAGGGCTTTGCTATCTTCCTTTTGCCTCTGGAAACGCTGTACAAATTCACGTTGACTCTCCAGCAAGCTGAAGTTTCTCGAGAAGGTTGTGTCAAACACATAGTGAACACCTTAGAATATGCCGTAGGCAAGAAGAGGTTTAGAGAAATTTAAATTTTAGGAATATGCTCCATAAAATAATTAAATATTTTCATCCAAGTATTTATTTGAATCAACTGAACTCAAAATCATAAACTATTTTGGAGTTTCTTGTTCACATTGCATACTTTAATCCATTCACTTCCTGAACATGTGTGTAATTACCACTAGCCGTAACCATAATCCACACAGCATTGCTATCTATTTGAAAGACACATTTAGTTACGTAGTTTGAGGGGTACTGCATCAAGCATGAGACAAGGCAAGGTGGCATTTTCCAGCTAATTCATGCTTGTCTATAGGTGCACATGCCAAATACAATGCAATTCCTTTAATGGAGAATATGATTGATAGTTGCTGTCATAAAACTAAACAAACAATAGATTCTCAGAAACCACTGTAAGGCAGTCATATAATTTCTTGAATGTGTCATTAACGAAGAGTGGAAAAAAAATTGTCTAGATTTTTTTTGTTGAAAGAGTGATTTAACTCCCTTCAGGCTCAGCTGTTTTCCTGTGAATAATTCAGACTTTTGACTAATCTGCCCATGAAGAAAGTGCTCAGCAGTGATAGAGTTCTTGCGCCATTAAACTATCATTGTAGTTGTGCCCACACTGTATCAAGCCGCAGCTTTGTACAGCAGCAGGTGATAACGAGTTTATCCTGCACTGTCATCCTATCATGGAACTGAAATTACTTGTGTTCTATAGGAGCTGGATGACCTACAGCACCAGCCTACCACCATATACTCTCGACCCAGATCAACATTTCAGCAGCAATGCAAGTGACTTGCATCAAAGATTCCACTGATACTTGTAGAGGGTCTTCAAGAGAAAAGCACCCACCAAATCGCAACATTGGGCTGAATTAATAACATGGTGATAAGTTCATCCCGCACTCCATGCTAATCTTAAGTTTTAGAGATGTTGAGTTAGAATGGCATGCACTGACCCACAGGCAGCCAAGATTTTCATGGAGCCATCGCCTCTGCTCGCAAAACATTTGCTTCATTCTTCATCCTCCCCTCCCTTGAGATGGACACAGTGGTACTGGTGAAACCATGACAATTTTATGCTACCAAACCTGACCACAAATAAAACTGAAGCTTTGGACTTTTATATGGTTTATCCAATTTTGTAAAAGACAAGCAATTATTATGGCAATCTGCACAATACAGATATTAAAGTCAAGTCTGCAATGTAAAAGCTGAAGTTGTGATTCAAATTTTACATACTCGGGAAGTAATCGTCTGGTGGATATTGCTTCTCACTTGTTAAGAGAGCATGCTATGCTGCCCTAGCATGCAGTAAAATGAAGTGCACTATTAGGAATTTAGATTGCAATCAAGTCTCTGGAGGCTGTTATTTAATCTCAGCTGCCAAAACAACAGAGATAGCAGCTTACGTTTTGGCAGTAAGTAAAATATTCAGATCCATAAACCCTGCATTACAAACAGCTCTATTGCTAGAAATGGTTTCACAGACAACAGGACTTCCATGTTTGGCATGGTTTCACAGACTGTAACATGCTTATTATTTCTCAGCTCAAATGAACAAATTCAGCAACAAATGCAGATTGAAACTGGGAACTGCTTGAATATGACTCGGATACAAAGCCTCCTAGATAAATCGTTGCGAAAGACCTTCCTCTTTAATTTTCTTTTCTTCCCTGGTCTCTCATTATCCGGTCAGGTGTGCAGGAGATTGTTCTTATAATCCAACAACTCTGCACAGAATCAACAATGATGAGGTGATAACTGTTGGATGGGAAAGCTCACCTGTAAATAATAAAAACAAAATGCTTAAAAATGCTCAGTACGTCAAGTAGATTGAGAGAGAGAACCAGAGTTAAGATTTCAGATTGATGACCTATTGGTCAATCAAAAACACTAACTCTGGTTCTCTCCTCACAGATGTTGCCAGACTTGCGGAGCATTTTGTGTTTTATTTCAGCGGTCTTCTACTTCTGATTCACCTTTCAATTACGGCTCCTTTCCGGAGGGAAGCAGCTAATTTATGGTTCCCCAGATCAATTAAAAAAGAATTCGACATGTGCAGGTTAGATCTCAGGCTCCACTCTGGCATGGAACGATGAACCAAAGTGGTTCTACATGACGTCACCTTCAACCACTTTGATATGTAAACTGAGTACACCTACATGCAGGGTTAGATTGAGTGCACAGATTTTATTCATTAAAGTGCATCGTACCTGTGCACATAAAAGCACCTTAGTCAGCCTTGTGTTGCTGTAAATCCACTCACCTAGACTTTTGAAGAATGCGGTCAGCCGTCGTGCGGTGTCCGTAACTTGCAGTTTAAATCTTGCAGCTAATGATGCCCTGGATTGTGGTGAAACTGAAACCACTACAAGCTTCTGATTCTCAGAACCGGACACCTAATCGATGAAACAGCAGTGCTCAAGAAATGTACTCAGTGCTACTCTGTGATGTACTCAGACAGTGGCCACAACCAAATGGATTCAAAGAAATGTACTCTTCATAATTCCTTGTCCTCTCCCCTTTGTACACTGGCTAAGCAAAAAATTGTTCAAAATCCACTACACTTGTTTTACTCATGATGACTGTTCAAAGATCTCTGTAGAACTTAGAAAGGTGAGAGGAGTCAGGTCAAAATGGGGCAGGCACACCTGTAATACTTTCATGCATTTCTGCCAAGAATTGCCATTTTCAGGAAAGGAAAGCACGTGTCCATTTATCTTGTGAATTTAGGGGAGGTAGGGAAAGAGATGTGACAGTGACTGAAATGTCAATAATAGGAGTTCAAACATAAATCACATTGAATTCATTTAGTCAATAATGCACAAAATGTGGAAAATAGCAGTCACTCGAATGAGATTCAGAAGTTTGAGTGTGCTATTAACTATCTTGCCTCTGCCAGATTTAACAAAGTGTGCATAATTTGATTTGCAGAAGATAAAATTGAATAATTCTCTGCTAAGCCAACAGTAACTTTTCATTTTTGTGTCAGTCATAGTTCAATTGATACCATTCTCATTTGTCAGTCACAGGGTGTGTGCTCAAGAGCTAATTCCAAACTGGAGGGCAAAAATTAAAATCAAGATCGACAACCTAGTGCTGTAGGGAGGGAATATTTTGACTACTGAAAGATTATGGAGTAGTAAGAAAGTAAGAGGTTAAACTATGGCCCCATCTGCCTGCTTGGGATATAAAAGTTTCCAGAGCACAGCAAAGAACAGGGGAATTGTCCTCAGTGACCTGGGCAACATTTGCCCTTTAATCGGTAAAGCAAAATGCCACAGTGTGCAGTTTCTATCAGCACATATTTTGCACCAATCCAAGTGTTCTTTTTCCCCCAGATTCGAACACTTGCAAAACAGTGATCATACTTGCCTCACAAAACTGCAATTAGATTTAGAATCGCAATATGATTACAGCACAGTAAGAAGTCATCGAGCCTATCGTGGCTGTGCCTACTCGCTGCGCAAGCAACTCAACCAGACCAAACAGCATTGCAAATACTTTCTCTGCAAGTACTTATCCAATTCTCTTTGGAAAACCACAAATGGATCAGTCTCCACCAGATGCAGTGCATCCCAGATTCTAATCGGGCCTTCACAGTAGTTTTACCTACTTGCTCCCATGTGTTATGTTTCTACTTCTAAAGCCCAAGATGCCATATGCCTTATTAATCACTTTTGCAACCTGCTCTGCCATATTGGAATGTTTTTCAGTTTCACTTTTATGTATGTGACTCTCAGAAACTCTTAAGACAGGCAGAATCTAGGCTTGAATGAAAGACAGCAATAAGTGTGTGTTGAACAAAATACAAAGGTCATCAAGTTTTATAGCTTGAAGTATAGCATAAATCTTTGAGTTGGAATGAAGAACGCAACTTACAACTGAACATGGAACTCAATGCACCTGGCACATAACAATTTTATACAAGTCCATCTGGTGCTACTGGTAGAAACGTATGGCATGCTTGCCTTCATTGGTCATAAAACTGAGCGTAGGATTTGGGATGTTAAGTTGCAGCTGTACAGAACATTGGTGAGGCCACTTTTGGAGTACTGTGTACAATTCTGGTCACTCTTCTGTATGAAGGATATTGTTAAATCTTTTCTGCGCCCTCTCAAGTTTAACAGGATGTTGCTGAGGGTTTTAGCTATAGGAAGAGGCAGAATAGGCTGGGGCTTTCTTCCTTGGAGTGTCAGGGACTGAGGGGTGACCTTATAGATGCTTATAAAATCATGAGGGGCATTGAGAGGATGAATAGCCAAAGTATTTTTCCTAGGGTTGGAGAGTCCAAAACTAGAGAACATATGTTTAAGGTGACAGGGGAAAGATTTAAAAAGGACCCGGGGTAACTTTTTCACGCAGAGGGTGATGCGTGTACGGAATCAGCTGCCAGAGGAAGTGTTGGAGGTTGGTACAACTACAACATTTAAAAGGCATTTGGACGAGTACATGAATAGAAAGGGTTGAGGGATATTGGCCAAATGCTGCCAAACTAGACTAAGTCAGGTAGGGATGTCTAGTTGGCAAGGATGAGTTACACCTAAGGGTCTGTTTCCGTGCTGCATGGATCTATGACTCTATTTTCACATCTTGAATCAAAAATAATTTTAAAATTTAGCACAGTGAATGTGATGACACTGCAGTAATGTCACTGGACTTTTAACACTGCAGCCCATTCTAATGCTCTGGGGACATGGGTTCATATCTCACCAAGACAGATTGCGAAAAGTGAATTCAATGAAAAACTGAAATAAAACGCTAGCCTAATGGTAATTATGTAAAACATTGTCCTAAAAGAATCTCTTTATTTCACCTAATGGCATTTAGGGAAGAAAATCTACCTTACCAGATCTGGGCTATATGTGACTCTAGCCCCATAGCAGTGGTTGACTCTTAACTGCCCATTGGGCAAGTAGAGATAGGCAATAAATGCTGGTCTAGTCAGTGACACACACATCCCGTGAATGAATAATGAAATCCTCAATTATTCAAACCAAAATATATGAGTTATAGGAGAAACTGGAAGCATTACTCTTCACCTCTCATCAAAAACACACTTCCTTCGATCATTTTGAACATTACAAAAACAGAAACTGCTGGCATAACTCATCAAATCTGGCAGCTCTGATGAACAGTCACCAGTCTTGAAACATTAAATCTGCTTTTGCCCCACAGTTGCTGCCAGATTGCTGAGTTTCACCAGTAATTTGTGTTTTTGTTTCAGATCTCTAGCATCCCCATTTTATTTTAGTTTTAACATTACAACACTTGAAATTAACTTCAAGTATCAGCAGATTGTGATATGAGAGCGATTACGTTTGGCGCAGTATTAGACCATGGGAGAAGTTACCATGAAACAACGTGCAATCCCATCTGATATCAATTAGTACAAATCTTACACTAAATTTACACCCATCTCCTCCCAGTCAAATTTGGGATTTAAGCATTATGTACTAAACTATGTTAGACAACAGCAAAATGACTAGGCCTGGAAAATCTATCAAATCATACCTGACTTACTCTAGCTTTCTCAATTTATAATGATTTCTGCTTCTCATAACCCAGTTTACTTAAACTATCCTCTATGAAGCTCTCTTTTCAAATTCCCTCATACAAATTTTAAAAAATGGTAAATTGCACTTCTGCCATCTTATAACAAAGAGACATTTAGCTTCCTTAGTATGACCTTATGAATCAGTCAGTTTTCCAGGATGAAGCATCTATGTCTTCCTGTGCACTTTGAATGATTGCAGAAAATAAAAATTAGCACTGAAGGATTGACTACACCCACCACAATATAGCAGAGCCTTACTTTGTTTTGATTCAGAACCTTGTATAGTTCCTCGTGACTTTGTTGCGTGATTAATACACTTTCTGCTGAGGTAATGCAGCCACTACAGGCCAAACAGTCATTCAAGGTTATTTTTGCTTTTTCAAGTTTCTTGATGCCTCCATCCTGAAAACGAAAACAAATGAGAAAAAAAGAACAAACAAATATGCTAACCCAATAGTGAAGAAATAAATCTTCTTCGCATTTTATATTTCATTTTGAGTAGAGATCAAAATCTATTCAGAATATAGACTGAATCAGCACAATAGTGCAAACAATTTGAAACTCTCCCTGCCAAAGTATTCTTGCCAGAGTACAAGGTTTAACAGGTCTGGGAACGTTAAATAAGTAAACTGCCTCGGCATTATGAGGAAAACGTTTTATTAAATAATTGCCTTTCGTTTATCTGTGCATATATTCACGCTTTAGACTTCCTTCACTAATCTAATTTTAAACAGCTGTACAAAAACAAGAATGAATTATAAAATTTTCTCTGCACAAACATCAATTCCACAGGCACTGAAACCAAAGTATGGCCAAACACCAACCAAATGATCATGTAGGGTTTACCTGGTTCAGTTGAGTGTAACTACCATCGTCTTCAATTCTGATTATCCCAGACGTTTTTCCTGGCTTCTTTTCCACTTTCACTGGCTTCACACATTCCTATTAAAGCAAAGTATGTTTTAACTTTGAATTCCAACTGTAAGTGGGGTCTCCTCCCCCTTCAGATTTGTTGTAAAACTTTTTTGGATCTTGTGTATCGATGCTGTCGTGTAATTTCGCAATTACAGTGCGTGAAGATGGCAAAAATGCCCCTTGCAAGAAGCATCTCCTTGAACCAACACAACAAGCAGTTCCACAAGCAATTTTTCTTAAATACTGGCAGCAACATTTGGGGTAAATTGATGACTGCGTAAAGTTGGGCACAAGTGTCAACTGAAAGAAAGTTAACACTAGCTGATTATAGAACAGCAGAGCCACATAAGACCTACAAAGATCAGAAATCAATAACACTGCAGTACTGAAAGGATTAAGAGTATCAGCAGAACTTATTTTGGAGCCTGCTATATCTAACCAATCCCACCAGACATACAAAAGCTATTTTAAAATAGATTTACATATAAATTGATGCCACATTATAATAAAGGAATTGGAACACGCAGAAAGGGCACAGCAACAGAATTGTCAGTGGGGCAGTTTTACAGTTTTTGTACTTTGAAAGGCAACTTGTAAATTTCCAGTGAAAAAGTCTCCTTGAATTTTTCAAACAGCAGTGAAGCCCCTTCACAATGAATGTGATTATTAGTTCAGAATTATCTTGTTCTAGGCAAGTACTATCTCAGCACACTCTTTCAAAGTGCCTTTCTGACTAATGCTAATTTCCTTACTGATATGCTGTAGAATATAATTAGTTGAAAAATTGTATTGTTGCTTTCACTTTACAGCTACGAGAACCACATTCGTGCATGATATTTACAGAATAATATTATCTCAAAGAATATAAAATACATTCAAGCTAGGTGAAAAATCAAACTTCTCTCTATTATTTAATGTGGCATTGTTATTTCTAAAAGCAAACAGCATTCCTTCCTAAGTTATACAATAGTTCATTCTCACCTGACTGTGGCAGTTGGCACACTTTTCCAGCTTCATGACAAACTAAGTATGTTGAGGAGATCTTCTGTGAAGTAGGTTAAGATAATGACAACTCAAACCCCAGGGCTGGTCTCAGCTTTATCTTGGTGTTATCATCTGTCCTGCAACCCAGTATTGAAGGCGTCTGCAACTGGAGCACAGTACTGATCTGTCCAGGGGTGTGGCTAGTACTACTGTCTACAAACCCACCAGGGATATTAGCCAATGTTTTCCTTGCTTTGGATTTTAGTACAAAACAAAAATGTGAACACATTCTTCTGTTAAACAAACTTAAGATATGTGAGCAGCAGTGGCATAGCAAGCCAAAACAAATGTTTGTTTCTCTGCAATATTTAAATGAACATGGGAAACCTAAGTTTAACTAAACACTGAATTAGTTTGTGTACCTGTTGAAAAGAATGTTAATAAGACAAGGATCCAGGTGTAACTACAAGACAGAAATTTAACCTGGACGTTCACATAATGTAGCCAGGTAGATATTCTCAATTCCATTTCTCACTATAATCGCCTCACAGGATTGTAGTTCGGCTGTGGAGCGGAAGGAAATTTAGTGAGAAGAGTCTAAGAGTGCAGTTGGGAGAACAACACATGTACATGTTTAAGCAAGGCCATCAAATAGTAGGGCAGGACCCAAGCCGCTCAGAATTTATGTGCATGTCAGAGAGGCAAATGATACAGAGCATTCTCAGTTTGAAATACCCTGTTTAAAGTTTCACTCAAACAGCAACAAAATAGCAATGTTCAGTACAAAAGACTGAAGAAATTCAGACATTAATAACCCCCATACATTTATACTTTAACAAAACTTGCTCAATCTTTTTCATTGATTTCAATTTAATGGAACACTTGATGCCAACCACTAAACTTTGACAAATCTATTTCCTCGTGCAAAACACTGGACAGAGTTAGGTTAACTGTTTCCTACCTTTATGCCATGCTTAGCAGGTGAAGGTTAATACCAAACTTTTGCGGTATGCATTTCTGGAGTTCTGTATTAATTCTTTAAGCTAAGTGGAAACCTACACTATTCCCCTGTCCTTTCATACTATCTTTAAATCAAGAAATTTCACAGCGTATTTGCATTAAGAGAATTCAATGATTGTGATATCCTTTCAGATATGTGCACATTCAATGTCATGTTGCTGAAGTTAGGACCTTAATACTTCTTTTAATTGTAAATTTAAGGGAACAGAACTTGATAAAAGGGACTTTCTACCTCTATGTATCTCTGAAAATTAGTAAAGAATCTACTGCATTTGCTGCAACATATCTTACTTTTTACTCAGTGGTAAAGATTAAAAGACAATGCATCTTTATAAATGTGAATCAGTATAATAAAGAAGCATACACTTTTGGAACTGAAACAAAAGTAAATACCAAAATCCATGTTCAGTATCAAATTGGAGGAATGCACAAACGGGAAGAAATGTTAACCCAAATGATATGCAATTGTTTAAAGCTTTCGAGAAGATTTGTAGTTCGGGTTGTGGATGAGATTGTACACATGCTCAACAAGCTGGTCGGTTTGGTGGCAAACGTTTCGTCACCCTGCTAGGTAGCATCATCAGTGCACCCACAGTGAATATGCAATTGTTATCATTTCTAAGATGATAGGGAAGTTTTGTTACAACTGTACAGGGTGTTGGCGAGGCAGAACCTGGAGTACTGTGCTGACATTTGAAAAATAAAGACAAACTGGTATTGCAGGATCTTCAAAAGGGATTCACTATGCTGACTCCTGGGATGAAATTGAGGACAATCTTATTACAAGTTTCTCACAGGGCTTGACAGGATAGAGATGTTGCACCCGTGGGTGAATCTCAAATTAAGGAACCTAGTTACAGAATAAGGGGGTACTGAATTAAAAACAAAGATGCAAAACAAATTTCAACTTTCTGAGGGTAGAGAAAGTCTAGAATTCTCTACCCCAAAGAGTTGTTGAGGGTAGATCACAAACTATTTAAAAGAACACGTACATTTTTTTAAAATATTGGGGAGTTGAGGCCTATGAGGAGCTGACAGGAAAGAGGAGCTCGGAGCACATCAAGCATGATGTTGAGTGGCAGAGCAGATTTAAAGGATTACTTTTACTTCTCATTACTTTCAGCAGAAACATTTACACAATAAATATAACACAGGCACATTATTTTAGCTTACATCTTCCTCTCTGACTACAATTCAGTTTCAGGCAGCCCTGAGGATTCACAATCAACTATCTCAGGGAATGAAGTTTGTTGTTTCTGTGTATGGCGTGATTCTCAGTGAGTCTGGATCCACTTTACTGGCCCACACACTCTGATGATCTCAAGTCAGTATGACCTTAAACCAGAGATGGGGGAACTCAGATTACAATGCTGGGGATCTCACTGGGGGGAAAAAAAATTACAGTAACAATACAGGTACATCAATTAACCTGGCCATTCAGACCATCTTGGACCCTACAAACCCTCGTTTTATTGTTTGTTTGTTGCGACTCAACTCCTGTGGAAGCCAATTAAAATAATACTATCGCCGGGGTCGAACCACAGCCCAATGGCTATCCTACCTGGGATGGGGTTATAAAATCATCGAGATCCGTCAACTGCAGCACCCCACTGAACTGCGACACCATCTTAACTAGTGCCCGACGGCGCCGCAAAATAACAGCCGTAAAGTAGACTCTCGGACTCAATCTACGGCAGTGAGGCAAAGGTGAACGACAAAACCCATGCCTTTCACCACCGTGACCTTCCCCACTGCGGCCCCGCCCCTAGATCCCGACAACAGTCCGCAACACGACACCACGTCCCCGTCGACTGGCCCCGCCCCTTCGCTCCCCACTCCCGCCCATAAATCGAGGGGCCGCCCCTATGATTCCGGGCCACGCCCCCAGGCAGGTGGCCCCCTTCCCAAAGCTCAGGCCCCTCTCCCAGGATTCCGCCGAGCGGCTCGACTCCCCGGCTCCCCCGCCACAGCGCCTCGCCCCCAGACCACGGGGCCCCGCCCCCAGCCACGGGGCCAATCCCCAGCCACGGTGCCGGTCCACTACGCAAATGGCCTCGCAACCAGTCTCCGGCTCCGCCCCCAAACCCTGTCCCCGCCCTCTGCCACCGGGCCACGCCTCCAGCCGCGGGGCCGCACCCCCATCTACGGGGCCCCGCCCACTAGCCAACCACACATTGTTATGCCTTGTCAGAATGAGGGGGGTGGGTATAGTGGCTCAGTGATTAGGAGAAGGACAGAAATTGCTGGAAAAGCTCATATGGTCTGGCAGCAAATGCGGAGAGAAATCAGGGTTAACATTTCGGCTCAAGTGACCCTTCCTCAGAACCAATGTTAACCCGGAAAAAGTTGGTTTACGTGCAGAAGATGAGATAGGGGTGTGGGAAGTAAATGATAGGAGGGGATAGAGCCCAGACAGAAACAGAGAAAAACAATTGGACAGACAAAGGACCAGGGAAAGGTCAGCCCAAGGGAATGAATAGCTTCTAATGGGGACCATCAGTGGCTGACACTGGGTCGTGTTTGGTAGCAGTCCATGTGACAACAAGGCCTGGTGTGTGGGGATTGAGCTAAGGACATGGGAGAAGGTGCTCAGGCCCCAAAATTGTTGAACTGATATTAAGTCCTGGAGGTTGCAGGGTCCCCAAGTGGAAAATGAGGTGTTGTTCTTCCAGCTTGTGGTGAACTTCTCTGGAGCACTGCAGCAAACCCGATACAGAAATGTTGGCCAAGGTACTGGATGTTATGTTAAAGTGTCAGGCAATGGGAAGCTCAGCGTTTTTCTTGCAGACAGAATGTAGGTCTTCTGCAAAGCGGTCGCCCAGTCTACGTTTTCTTTCCCCAGTGTACAGGAGACCACATTGTGAGCAGCAAATACAGTAGATTCTGTGAAGTGCAGGTAAATTACTGCTTCACCTGGAAGGTGTGTATGGGGCCCTGGATAGTGAGGAGTAGGAATTAAATGTGTTACACCCTCTGTGGTTCCATGGGAAGATGATGTGAAGGTGTTGGGAGTGAAGGAGGAGTAGACCAGGGTGTTCCGAAGGGTACCATCCCTGCAGAGGGCTGACAAGGGAGCATAGAGGTATGTGGATCTGGTGGTGGCTAATGATCTTCTGGATGTGGATGCTGGTGGGATGGTAGGTGAAGACAAGGGGTCCCTTTCAGTGTTGTGGGAGGGAAGAGAGAGGGTGAAGACTGAAGTGCGGGAGATGGGGCAGACCCAGCTGAGAGCATTACCAACCACAGTGCTGGAGAATCCTCGGTTGAGGAAGAACGTGGACATTTTGGAGGGACCCTTGTCGAAGTTGGCATCATCAGAACAAATGCGATGGGGAACTGGGAGAATGGAATAGAGTCTTTACAGGAAATAGGGTGTGAGTATGTATCATCAAGGTAACTGTAGGCATTGGTTGGTTCAGAGTGGATATTGGTGACCAGCCTATCCCCAGAAATGGAAACAGAGATGTTGAGGAAGGGAAGGGAGGAGTCAGAGATGGACCAGGTGAAGGTGAAAGCGGGTGAAAATTGGAGGTGACATTGATATACTTTTCCAATTCTGGACAAGAAAGGGAAGCAGTTCTGATGATGTTAACTATATACCGGAGAAAGAGTTATGGGTGGGGGCCAGAATAGGACTGGAACAAGAAATGTTCCACATTCCCCACAAAGTGACAAGAGTAACTGGGGCCCACGTGGGTCTAACGTGAAGAAAATGGGAGGAGTTAAAGGATAAGCAATAGGGTCCCCTTGTCCTCACCTACCATCCCACCAGCATCTACATCCAGAGGATCATTAGCTGCCATTTCTGCTACTTCCAGCAGGATGCCACCACCAGACACATATTCCCCTCCTTTTCCTTGTTGGGACTGTTCCGTCCAGGACACCCTGGTTCAATACTCCTTCACTCGTAACAACTCCCCACAGCCTCACGGTACCTTCACCTGGAATCGCAGGTCTGACACCTGCCTGTTTATTTTCTCCATCCTCAGTATCAAAGGAGCAAGATGCACCTTCTAGATGAAGCAGCGCTTTACCTGCACTTCTCACAATCTAGCTTACTGCATTCACTGCTCACAATGTGGTCTCCTCTACAATGGGGAAACAAAACATAGACTGGGTGACCGCTTCGCAGAATATCTACGTTCTGTCTGCAAGAAAAGCCCTGAGCTTCCCATTGCCTGCTCCTTCAACACACCACCCTGCTCCCTGGCCAATGTATCTGTCTCAGGCTTGCTGCAGTGCTCTAGCAAAGCTTAGCGCAAGCTGAAAGAACAGCACCTTATTTTCCACTTGGGGACCCTGCAGCCTTCTGGACTCAATATGGAGTTCAATAATTTTAGGCCCTGAGCACCTTCTCCCATTATCCCTACTCCCACCATCCACACAGCAGGCTTTGTCATCACAGGGTCTGCGAATACAGACAACTCATTGTTAGCCATTGATGGTCCCCATTCGCAGATATTCATTCTCCCAGGCTGACCTTTACCCACTCCGTTGTCGAACTATTTTATTCTCTCTTTTGGCTCTATCTCTACCTGTGTTTCACTCCTCCCTCCTCCCCCCACCCCATTTTCCAACTACCATCAGTTTAAATGGTCACTGGACCCAAAACATTAACTCTGTTTCCTCTCAACAGATGCCAATACACCTGCTGAGTTTTACCAGCAATTTCTGCTTTTGTTTCTGCTTTCCAGCATCCGCTGTTCTTTCAATTTATTTTGGATCAGTAGTTCACACTGGTTCCTCAACACCAGGGACCCAGGTTCAATTCAACCTTTGGTTGACTGTCTGTGTGGAGTTTGCACATTCTCCCCGTGTCTGCGTGGGTTTCCTCCGGGTGCTCCGGTTTCCTCCCACAGCCCAAAGATATGCAGGTCATGTGGATTAGCCAAGGTAAATGTGGGGTTACGATATAAGGCGGGGGCTGGGTCTGGGTGCAATGCTGTCTGGCCTGTTTCCACACTGTAGAGATTCTATTGATTACGTGTCTGTGATGGCATAAAGACCGAAAGTGCCTTCAGCAATTCTACACTCTCAGTGGTACACGTTGAAGTTAGCCGTTCGATCTCCCTAGAATACTAGCCTAAGGTAATAAGATAATCAGTTCCTATGAAAAGGTCTATTTCCCACTTCATTCCACAGTCTGTCTGGAATGTTATGTGTCATCAGGAGCTCTCTAGCTTTGCCCCTGCCTGTGATGTCAAAGTCTGCAGAGCTCCAAGTCAACAAGGGTGAATCTACATCTGGGCAGACCTGAGTCCTCTAGACCCAAACTCTCAGGGTGGAGTTGGGGGGATCCCAGCCAAATCTTTCATGCCTAGTTGGGAGATCTTTGCTTGCTGGTGCTCCCTCTGACAACCACTGGAACTTTCTGGCCTTGCTGGGCTTGGAAAGGTGTTGCAATTACTGTTTTCTCCGACACTATGGTCAGTAATGGCACTCGGGACCCTCTGATAGTTCCCTCAGTCTCTATCTGGAATAGAGCAGCTTATCAGTGATGTTACTCCAATCCCTCACACCATTCACCAGGATGTGACATCTTATGCCCTCTTACAATGTGACAGTGACTTTGCAAAGAGGCCAATATCCTGCCTTGATTAAGAGTTCTGGGCTAGATAATCTTATGCAGAACGAAACTACAAATGTTACACTGGGGAGATTAAATACAGGCACTTCACCATGATCGCATCTCCTCATAAAAGAAGCCGTCCTTTCACATCCCAGACTGAGTCCTAGGTATCAGATCTGCCCTCTGCAACTGGATCCTCAGCTTCTTGACTCATAGACCGCAATTAGTGAAGACAGACAACTGCACTTCCTCCACGATAACCCTCAACACTGGAGCCCCACCCCCCCGGGATGCATTCTCAGCTCCCTACTGTACTCCCTGTACACCCAGGACTGTGCAGCCAAATTCCGAACAAGCACCATCTACAAATTTGCTGATGACACCGCCGTGGTAGGAAGGATATCTAACAACGATGAGTCAGAATACAGAAAGGGGATAGAGGACTTGGCGTTGTGGTGCGATGATAACATCCTGTCTGTCAATGTCGGCAAAACAGAAGAACTGATCGTTGACTTCAGAAAGAAAGAAGGAGTTTACGCCCCCATCTACATCAACGGAGCAGAGGGGGAAAGGGTCGAGAGCATCAAGTTCCTTGGAGTGACGATAACGAACAATCTGTCCTTGACTCCCAATGTAGAAGCGACGGTTGAGAAGGCACAACAATGCCACTTCTTCCTCAGGTGGTTTAGGAAATTCGGTATGTCCATAAGGACCCTCACCAACTTTTACAGATGCACCATTGAAAGCATACTGTCCAGGTGCATAATGTCCTGGTACAGCAACTGCTCTGTCCACGACCGTAAGAAATTACAGAAGGTTGTGTACACAGCCCAGACCATCACAGAAGCCAATTTCCCATCCATGGACTCAATTTACACAGCTTGTTGCTGCAGAAAGGCTGTGAACATAATCAAAGACCCTTCCCCCCCCCCCCCCCCCCCCCCCCCCCTAATGCTCTCCCGCAATCTCTTCCATCAGGCAGAAGATACAGAAGCTTGAACACACGCACCAATAGGTTCAAGAACAGCTTCTTCCCGCCATTAGGATGATGGATGGACTCTCTAACTTCGTATAATGTTGATCTTGTTATTGTTGATCTTGCTTCGTGCACCTCCTTTGCGTCGTAACCTGTATGCCTCACTCTATTTAAGCACCCTATGATCTGTCTGTCCTTGTTTACTATGATCAGCCCGTACTGCTCACAAACAGAGCTTTTCACTGTAGTTAGGTACATGTGACTACAATAAATCAAATGAATCAAATACAATACAATAAATCCTTGCACACCTACAGTTAGGCATGAGAATGTGGCAGCTCTGAAACATTCTCTTACAGATTCTTACAGCAGGGAAACAGACCCTTCAGTCCAACTTTACCAGATATCCCAATCTGACCTAATCCCATTTGCTAGC